CGTGGGCACCCCTACTACAAAGTCCGAAATCCTGATCCTAGCAACCATCAGATTCCGATTTAGTTTGTAGGGATAATTTCGTAAACCTCCCTTGAGGTTTTTGACAATTTCACCTAGTTCTCTTGAAGTTTCAAAAATTACCTCCCTTTAAATTACCATTTTGGTAAAAAATTTGTTCAGTGGTCAAATTTTGACCAAAATTTTGAATCAATAACCTAAAATGCCCTCATAAAATTATGAAATTCATTTCACTTTCTTTTAGAATTCTTTAAAAAATTTGGAATATATACAACATCACAAAACCACTTTTAACCCTCATCTCTACTATTCTAAACCTTCCATATTTCCACATCGCAAATTAGTATCATTATCTCCATGACCACCACCACTATCAGTACCTAAGCTCTAAAACCTCAAACTAAATGTAAAAAAATCAGCACTATTAAATTCAAAAAAATTTCACCAATTGGATTAATATAACACCCTATCTCTTAAAAGTTGGAGTATAAATGCCAATCGTGTCCTTCTTAAACATTCATCTCGCATCTTCTTCTATTTATTTCTAGATCCTCCAAAAAAAACTAAAATAACTTTGTAATATGTTTAAAATTGTGTTTATACTTTATAACATAGGGTTATTCCATGAGTGAACTTTGCTTTTGTTTTCTTTTAATGCCTAATTGTGTGAAATGCATTTATATACACAAGATTAGGAGCAGATTATTTAATTTCATGAAAAATGTTGATATGTTAAGGTTGTTATGGTCATTTTATAAAATTAAGGAAAATAAATATAATATTAAAAATTTCAAGGGTACTAGGTGAAATTGTCAGAAACCTCAAGGGAGGTTTCCGAAACTATCCCTAGTTTGTGTCCCAACGCAACTATCAGAATTCGATTCCTATTGAAACTAGTTTATAAACCGATGCTTTGCTTCATTGCACGGATCTATACAATCTGTGTGTTTTTCTACTTTTTACTCGTGCAATCTAATTCTTGTGAAATATATGGCATTAATGGAATTGAACCCTCCAAGCTTTCTTTTGCAGTGGCAAACGGATCAAGAAATTATTAATCTGACAAACCATCCATCCTTCCCTTTCCCAGCAAATGGTTTAATTGATTTAACGTGGAAAATTGCTCTACAAAATTTGGTGAACCATTCGTATTTTTCTCCTTACTTCACAGGAAATAGAAAAGCTGGCTGTGATCGGAATGCTGCTTTGCTATTCCAACAATGGTTTTGCTATTCCTACTTGTATCAGATAAATTTCGACAAAACTTTGATGCAAAAAAAAAAAATATTAGAACCTTCCCCCGTAAGGTAGAAGTGCCCAAGAAAAATTGCTCTCCAATATCTTGTCTTTGTTAAAACCGAAGATCCTTCCTTATAAACTGTCAAAATTTGCAAAATACCCAAGAAAGTAAATGCTTATATGAGATGAGAATATACATTATTGCGTCGTTAGGAGCATGGAGAAAAAAAAAAAAAAAAGGTGAAGCTCAGCTAGCTGCAATTCTTCAATAGAAGAAGGAGAAGAAGAAGAAGAAGTATTTGTAGACTTGAGATGAATACACATAAAAAAACAGTAACAGGTCAATTTTCATTATTTATTTCTCAATACAGAGTTGCTACTTTTTGTTCGTAAGTTTTCTCTAACCGATGAGTTCGTCAAAGTTTCTAGTCCCCACCAGTTGAGGTCTTTGCTTTCAACTTGTGCTCCAATTGCTTTGTATGACCAAAGTGAGGTCATTTGGTGCTACCTGACAAGAACCTAGAAGTTCCTGAATCCAGGTTACACAACTCTTATTTGTTGGGATTAATAAGTTTCATAACTAATTTGTCGCCGACTCCATTATTGAGGTCCCGAATCCGGATCCATGTTAGATAACAGTCTCTCATTTGTCGGGATTAATAAGTTTTTCGTAACTAATTTATCACCGACTCCATTATTGAGGTCTCGGATCCATGTTAGATAACTCTTATTTGTCGGGATTAAGAGTGAGTGAAGTCCATTGGCCCGCCTACCAAACCCTCAAATCCAGTTGTAATCTTCGAGAAGTAGATACAAATCCAGGCCGAGTACATGCATCCACGTGGATTTTCTTGCTTCTTTCAACTTTTCCAACAATTAGTTTTACGATTAATCTTTTATATATTAACAGTGTATATACTTTTATTATTAAATATATGATATATAATTTAAATTTCAAATTATATATATATGTCATACGTCCAATTATAATAATATATACATCGTTAATGTGTATAAAATTAACTTTTACTTTTATCCCAATCAAAGATTAAATAAGAGAAAAAAAAAAAGTAGAGATTGCAAAATAACAGATGCAGTCTTCGGCGAGAGACCTATCATTCACCAACTCTCAAACTCGGATGGAGTCTTCTCACTTCTGATATTCATTCTGCATTAGTGGAATTAAACTCTGTCATCGTGATGAGTGGAGGACTTGTAGGGTTCTTTCGTACTCTTAAGTTCAGAATTCGAATTTTGAGTTCGAATTTTGAGTTTGACAGTTGATGAAAGATAGTTTTTAAAATTATCCTACAGTCAAGTTCACGATTCAAATCCTGAATCTAACAATTGATATGGTAGGGTGCAATGGCCGGTGGAAGAGTTTTTTTTTTTTTTTTTTTTTTTTTTTTTTTTAAATGTCACCTAGGACAGCAATATAGAATGGATTAAGCAGCCAATCAGATCACTTCCCCAACTTCCAAATCCAATTTGGTACCAATTAGATCGCTCCCCCAACTCCCAAATCCCAATTACCAAATGGGACCCATTTCAATGTTATGGGCCCGAGTCACCAAACTTAACTTTTCAAGGGACGTTTGGTAAAAGGGTATCGAAATAAAAAAAAATAGAATAAACTCCATAATTTGTATTTGGTTCATTGGCATGAGAATTGAAATTTTGGAATGATTTCTACAAATTTGACATCCCTCCGTTCCTATAAATGTTCAACTCCACCTCAATCGTGGGCTTGGCTGCATTTAAAAGATAAAAGATATAGATGACATAATTCTTGTCCGTGCTTGATGATGATTTGACGAAAATATAAAATTCATCATTTTACCATAATAAAACGGGGGCAGATGGTCTGGCATAATTAATCAGTTGTTATTTTTCAAAATTCTTTTTCTTCCATTTTAAGTGACTCTTCACCAATGTTTATCACTTCGACTCAACCACTAATATCAACTTCAAACTCTTCACTAATATTTATCATTTCAACTCAATCACTAACATCACACTAGAAATATAAGTGACTCTCCACCAATGTTTATCACTTCAACTCAATCGATAATTAAAAAAAAAAAAAAAAAAATCTCCTTGTCCGTCCTCTCATGCAAATTTTTTTCCTATCTCTTGCATTAAGATTTCTATGCTTACTAATTGTTGAATACACTAATTTTACTGGAGTTTTATTTCAATGTCCGAGTGTTTTTTTTTTTCTATTTTTCCTCCTTAAGAGATTCATTAATCAATTGCTACAATTAATTGCTTGATTTAATTTTTTTTTATGAGATTTAAGCACATGAGACGTGCAATCCCCCAGCATCTTCTTTAATTGCACCTCCGCTCCATTTTTCTCCTGTATTCCTAATTGGAGCTAAATATAGGGGTATCTTTGTTTTTTCATATGATTAAAAAAAGTGAAGGGTGTGCTGTTAACAAACTTGGGAGTACCAACATCAGCTCCCTTTTAGAAATTGTAACTTTGTATAATCCTTACTAGCTTGCTTGATTACTGTAAATTTACCTGTTGCAGCTGCTTTTTTTTTTTTTCCACATGGCAATTCTATTGTGTGTTGAATGAAAGGTTTCTCGTATAGGACCGAGTTGATATATGCCCAATTGGATTGAATTGAAAGTAGAAATCTAAAACTTTTTAACATCTGCAAATAGAGTGAAATCCATGTTTGATCGAAATAGAAGCTCAAGGCAAATTGTTAATTAATTTCATATCCACATTTGGAATAAACAATAGGGATTACTGATTACATTCGAAAACAAAATCAAAAGATTGTTTGCATGTGGGGTTGAAGTGCCAGAATTATTTTTTCTTTGTTTTTTGATGTAAATGAAACCTATCATTTTCATCTTACGAGGCTGCCTTACCCATTGGATTTGTCATTTCTCACGTACAAACATATAAAATCATTATTGAAGCAATGGCCTTGTGGCAATATAGCCTGCGGTTTCGTCATTTCCTGAGAAATGAGACGTGTAAAGTTATAATTCTTCATGCAAGATGAGAAAGACATTTTCATGAGAAACGAAAGCATTCGTGTTTATCTCTATCGTTTCTGAAAAAAAAAAAAAACATTCGTGTTCTTGTAATTCTGCATTTTCCCAAAAAAAGTCAACACAATAATGACAACTAACTGCACAACGCACATGCCAATAATGGCCCTCTACATCAAAAGTAAGGTCAGCACTTACGTATGTCAATGTGATGACAGTCAGAAATGATTTAAATCCTGATCTAGCGCCGCGCATGAATAGATATTGGATGAAATAGTTTAAAATATTCATCATATTTCGTAAAATAATTTTTTTTTATTTTTAAAATGATAATTTTATATTCCTTATAAAATTAAATCGGTAAAATTTAGTCCTTACCTAAATTTTTAACCATTTTTTCCCTTCAAACCATCACCTGATCTATACATGATTATTTTTTTCAGGGGCAAAAAGACTAGATCTCATTTATAGTTAAATAAATGACTTAATCCATATTCATTTTTATCCCTAAAAAGTAAGTTCTAATGTGAACTATATTCATTTTTCCCTAAAAAAGTAAATTTTGATTCAATTCATATTCATTTTGGCCACTAAAAGATAAGATCTGATCCTTTTGTATATAAAAAATGACTACATATGGGTCACACAGTGATTTCAAGTCCAAAAGTGATCAAAAACTTAGATTGGAATCAAATTTTACTAACTTAAATTTATAAGAAATGTAAAGTTAATATTTTAAAAGTAAAGGGCAAAAAATTCGTTTAACAATGTGTGACACACATCTTGAATGACTTTCCCTAGATATTGTAGCGTAAACAAGAACAGCATATAAGTATTGATTTTCTGATCCTTCACGAATTACTCAGGAAAAGTATTGAAAGACAAAATGCCTTCAGAGAGGGAACAGTTGAACTTGGTGTTGATACCTCTGTTGTCACCAGGACACATAATTCCCATGATTGACATGGCCAAAGTGTTGGCAGGGCATGGTGTGACAGCAACTATCATTACCACAGTCAAGAACGCCGGTCGTTTCAATGCAGGAATCGATCGTGTAGCTGCGTCCGGACTCCCCATTCGACTTCTTCAAGTCCCATTTCCATGTGAGAAGGTTGGATTGCCCAGGGGATGTGAGAGTCTAGATAATCTACCGTCCTACGACTTAGTAAGGAACTTCTTCGATGCAATTGATATGCTGCAGCAGCCAGTTGAAAAGATGATTGAAGAGCTAATTAAGCCAAGTCCATGCTGCATCATCTGTGATAAATATATCGCCTGGACCGCACAAACAGCTCGTAGATTCCGGATTCCATGGATTTCTTTCGACGGCATGAGTTGTTTCACTCAACTGTGCATTCATAATTTGCAGATGACTAGAATTTACGAGGGCATCTCTGAGGGGCAGCCTTTTGTTGTGCCTAATATGCCGGACAAGATTGAATTTACTAGAGCTCAGCTTCCAGGAGTGTTTAATCCGGGCAGCTCCATGGCAGATCTGAAAGGTATTCGAGAGCGGGTGGAAGCAGCTCAAGTAGAAGCATATGGGGTGGTTGTCAACAGCTTTGAGGAAATGGAACAAAGATATGTACATGAATTCCGAAAAGTGAAGGGGGGTAAAGTTTGGTGCATTGGGCCTTTATCAATGAGCAACAAGGAAAACTTGCATAAAATTCAGAGAGGAAGTGAAGCTGGCTCTTTCGATGAAGACCTGTGCTTGAAATGGCTGGACTCGAGGCAGCCAGGGAGTGTAATATACGCATGTCTTGGGAGTCTCGGCCGCCTCGCTCTTCAGCAGTTCACAGAGCTTGCGTTAGGACTGGAAGAATCCAATCATCCGTTTATATTAGTTGTAAAAGAAGAAAAGAAAGAAGATACTGAGAGGTGGATTGCAGAAGATGGATTCGAGGAAAGAACAAAAGGGAGAGGCCTTCTGATAACAGGGTGGGCGCCTCAGGTACTAATCTTATCTCATCCAGCAATTGGCGGATTCTTGACACACTGCGGTTGGAACTCAACCCTTGAAGCAGTTTCTGCTGGTGTGCCGATGATTACATGGCCTTTGTTTGCTGAGCAGTTTTTCAATGAGAGGCTAGTGGTTCAAATCTTGGACATTGGAGCCAGTGTCGGAGCTAAAGCTGTAAGGCACCTGGGAGAGGAAGAGAAGTCCGGAGTAAGTGTTACAAGGCATGAAATCCAGAAGGCCATCAGCAAGGTAATGGACGGGGGAATAGATGGAAAAGAAAGAAGGAAAAGAGCGAAACAAGTAGGGGAGATGGCCAAGATGGCAGTGGAAGAAGGGGGATCTTCTGACCTCAACATTGAACTGCTAATACAAGATATTATGCAGCTAGCGTAGCGAACAAAGCAACAATCCAATCTCATTTCAAGGGATGAAATTTGGAACAACCATATTTTGATCCACAGAAATAACACAAGCTGCAGAACATGCACTCATTTTCCATTCTCAATTAGTTATATTTTTGAAATCTATGTTGCTTTATATTCTTTCTTGGACAATTTTCCAGGTGCAGATGGATGTTGACAAGGTACTAAAGTGGAAATGATTGGGAAAAACAACTGTCTTACAACAGTAGGGACTCACAGGCAAAGCCATTTTGGACCATCGGTCCATACTAAAAAACGATTTCCGACAAGTACTGCTTGCTATAGTTAAAAAGAAATGAACCATCGCGGCCCATGCTTTAGTTCTTCTTCTAACTTCTCAATATTAGTCATTTTTTCTCTCCTCAATCTTCCATTTAACTAAATAAACTTGTTCAGAATTTTCCATCCAACACCCTGCTGATCAAGTCGTCTAACCTCGACCAAAGACTGGAACATGTTAAACAGTTGCTGAATTACTTGAAAGTGTGGAAATCCAAATTGATAGAAGCAGGAGCAAATCTTAGAGGATGAGTAAGTGGATTAGGTGGCCCTCCTCTAGGATGTTTCTTAGTGAACATTTTGAATTAGAGTTTGACCAATATGGCAATCTAATCTTCTATAGTAAACTTTTGCAACTCATCGTCCATAGTAATTCAACCCTCTTCATTTTACATTATAATGTCAGCATCCCATTGGGCAAATTCCCTAATTCGGTGATTCCTTCTGAGATCAGTACACAGACAAGTTAAGTTAAAATCTCAGAACCACCAATAAAAATTCAACTGAAATCCCATTCAACTGCAAGTCAGGAGAAGGTATTAAAAGTTAAGTGCTTCTACCTCACTTCACTTCAAGTGGTTTCACTATACTGTAATGAAACTGATGTTCACCAAATCTGATTGGAGTTATATTTTTGTTAAAAGCTTAAAATCAAGTGAATATAAAAGTAGCACCAATCTCGTAGATTCTTGTCTACTGTGCTTGTTTAATGCTTGCCACTACAAAGGACAACCATCCCAGCCATCTCTTTAACAACGATATTCTCTTGGTAATAGGACCTTTCTCTGATAGCCACAGACCTACTGGTAAACCTATGCAAATTTCTTAATTCGACTCTAACTTCTCACTCCTTCCCCCCCCCCCCCACCCTCCCCAACCCCACCCAAAAAAAAAAAACTTTTAATAACATTATTGTCACAGAATGATGCAAAAAGTTCAAGCACCAGGACTACTTGGCAAAATGTTATCAGGGTTTGATGAACTTCATTGAACCAATGAAATTGAAGCTAGTTATTACAAGGCTGAAAATAGTATAAATTTCATAGCAATAACATTCGTTTATATAATGAAACCAATTGATAGAGTACTTATTGTAGCTTTCAAACTAACTCAAATGTGAATACTACCGAATAGCTGTCACCTTTACATACTGAAACTTTAATCATGATATCCATGTAACTTACTAATCAGTTCAATCTTCTCTCCTACATTCACATCCAACTGATTCCATGCCCCTATCAGATTATCATATACGTGAGTAATTCTGTAATCAATTCAATCACTTTCTCCATTTGTTGCCAACAAGTAGTTTTGCTTACTTAGGATGTCTCTTGATCTTCCTCACATTACACTATTTTCCCTATTGCAGCCTTCTTCTGGGGCCCCTTTACTGGAGCAACAATATCTAATTATCAGGTATATAATACGAGAGAAGAACATACACATGATAATTCCCCCCATATGACATACTCTTACCACTAAATTTTCTAAAAATAATACGTCACCAATATGGGTTTATCCACATTAAGCCAGTCATGGAGTTAATGTTCTAACCCTTTCTCCAGCCACGTCTGTGAATTCATAATTTAATCCTACCTAAAATAATCATAACAGAAGCAACATAGAAGTAGAATAAAGCTCCAAATTTTTTACCCAATTTAGATAACATCTCATCACAACGTTGCAAGAATCTTATTTGACCTCAACAATCAATCCATTTATTCTTACTTAACGATGCAGAATGCCAGGAAAAAGTTGGAAACTTCAATCAATTTACTTGATTGTTTCCACTTTCCTAAATTCTGTCAAATTGAGACAAGATAGGGAAGGAGCTCGTTTAATACCTTTACTGATCAAAACACAAGATTACGTTGTTGCCTACGGGTTAGTGGCGGCCACATGACAGACTCCTGCTACTTAATCATCTTCCTGAGGCGGGAGAAAATGCAAGCTGATTTCGAAGCTTTCTGTGAGAACCCGTAAATTCCCTAATAACTCTCCTAGGGTTTTTCCCCTTTAAAGACATGTTTTCTGCATTTTCTGGCTTAGGAAAATTCTCCTGGTAAATTTTGTGAGTAATTATAGTTTTTAGGTGATTTTTCTAGTATTGGAGAGTTTTTGAAAAATTAAGAGTATATAATGGACGTGGGACCCACTAGTGCGAAAAGTTCGGAAAAATTCGGCTAATAAGGTTAAGTTTCGGACACTGTGTAAAATTTATCGGGTGTTAAGAGATAAGTAGAGAGTGAAATTTGATTGATGTGAGAGGAAAAGAAAGGGATAGGAATGTATTTAAGAGGTGACAAGTGTCACCATCTCATTGGACATGACTTATGATTTACTATTCATGCTTTTTGACTTTTGACCAAATTGAGTAAATATCTCCAAAATTCACTAAAAATTCACTCATTTCTTCTCCTCCATAGCCGGCCCTCTCTCTCTAACAAAGAAGGAAAAACCTCTTCAATCTTCAAGCTTTCCACTAGCTCAAATCATCCAAACCAATTGCTTAAACTAGTTTCTACTCCATACAACCTTTCCATTTGGTGTTAGTGGTGAGTTTGGTGAAGTTTTTGGAAGAGCTAAGGTGGTCTACAACTCCTCTTCTCTTGTATACTAGGTAAGTGATGATTGAACATCCTCCTACACCTAATGATGTTTAATTCGTGCTTAGTGGTGGCTAAAGTGATGGAATGTGTGATTTATTTCTTGATTTGAAATGAATTGGTGAAGTTTTTATTTTTTTGAGGAATTTTTTGGTTTAATGTGATCATGGTGTTGTGGTTGTTTATGATGGTTGATAATGAGGGGTTATAACTCTAGTGGATGTAAATGATTGATAATTGCAGCCAATTTTGGGTTTGGATTGAAATGAGAAAAGTTAGGATATCATAACCCCCTCTTCTGTCCGGTTTTGGATCATATGGTTAGAGGCCGAATTGACCTTTACTTCAAACATGAAAGTTGTAGGTATGGATGTGTTTGAGGTGCCTGTAAAATTTCAGGTCATTTGGAGTAGTGTAGAGTGAGATATGTCGATTTTACTGTTGCTGTTCTGGGTGATCAGAATGCGCGAACTGCGTCTGAAATGGGTTGTTTTGGCTGGGATTGGTTTGGATTTTGTTGTTGGTATCTTCTGATGAAATGTAGCTGGATGTCTTAGCTACCATATGCCTTTGGAATCAATGCATTTGGACCTGTATAGACTGAGTTGCACGAATTACAGCATAGTGTGATTTGTGAACCTGCAATTACGGTTCTGGTTTGGTATTCTGCATTTTTGACCTAGTTGTACTAGGATTTGGACTGAGTGGCCTTCTACATTGTTGTAGCCCTGTCTTTTAGCTTCGAGATGGTGGGTCTTACACCCTCATCCGATAAGCGTAGCGCATTTTGTGCCATTACCGCATTAGGAGGCCAAAACTGTTTTTGTTGTTGGGTCAAATGAGTTACATTTCCTGATTTTCTGGTTTGCTATAATGCTTGTATATGTTTGTAAAACCCTATTGGGGTTGTGATTGACATTTCTTTATGACTCGTTATCGAGTCTCATTGTACTTGCTTACGTGTTCTAGGGCGTGACGGTGGTTCACGACATTCTCCTGACGGAAGTGCATGAAATAGCACTTAATTGATTGGTGAGTATACTACTCACTTAATTGTTACAATGTGGCTTTGTTATATGTGAATTTGATGCCTTGAAGGCTTACTTGGCTATTGGAATTGATAGAGGTGAGGGTGTACTTAACCACCCTCACCCCTTGTGATCTCATTCATGACTGTTTACCGTTTACTGAAATACTGCAATTGATATATGAGATATTGAATTCCTTCCATGAAAACTGATTTGGTGTCGTTTGGACGAATATCCAACGGCCTTACTGTATTACTGAGCTCAACCTCGTTGGTGGTCAATTGAATCGAGTCGGCGAGGGATTGGTCGTGAAAATTGACTTGCCACGGGGACTGTACTGGGGAACCTTGTAGTAATGAGACTCTTGGTTCCGGTATACTCGAGTATTACCAAAAGCTACTGAATTGGAGTGCGGGCCCGGTTGGGATATGTTGGGTGGAAGGAATGGAAGTGAAGTGAGGTCTACGGTCGTGTATTCTTAAACATTGACGGAGGGTCAATGAGGTTGGATCAAGATTGCAAGCGTGGAAATGGGCTCTTGAGAGCCGTCCGTATCCTTTCACTGATTTGATTTACTTCTTATTTGCATACTTGAACTGAACGGTTACACTTACGTGATTTTAGATGCTTATGTGGTAGTAACTCACTGAGCTTTAGCTCACTCCGTTCCATTTGTTTTCCTTACAGGAAAATGACTATTTTGGGAAAGGTTGTGCTAGTTGGTTGCCAAGTTGAGCTTGTAAATGTATTTTTGAATAGCTCCTTGAGAGTGAAAACCCTAAGTGTTTTGTTTTCCCACCAATGGTTGGTTTGTAATTGGCTATTTGCACATGTATGGACTAGTTGGATATTTTGGTATGCCGTTTGGCTTGTAAACGTTGTATTTCAATGTACATATGTTTGGTGGATATTTGGTTGAATTTCGGATCAACTCGTATTTCAAACGGCAAAAGAAAAATTTTGGCTACTCTCGGCCTAGTGTCTGGATTCTGACGTGTCCAGCACTGTTGATCTTCGGCTTCGAATTTCATTTTTTTATTTTGTGATTTTGACTTGTTTGCGCGCAATGGTATGTTCCGGGACGTATGAGTTCGACATAAACTGATCCGTTAGTCCTGGCGAGAGTTAGGCGGGCAGTCCGCTAACCCCTTTGGTTCGCCTTAGG